CGCATAGGTTGTCTTTTTCTCAATTTGGATCAAAGCTGGTTTTGGGGGGTAAACACATAAAAAATGCAGCCTCAATAGATATGGATTGGGACTAATGTCATATGTACTCCGCTTCCCTAACCAGTTGTGGGAGTGCACTGGATGAAGAGTAAACGGAAGAGGGTACACAGCTTAATTAACCTAAAATGGGGAGGGGGTGTCTCTCTCTTTCTCACTCACTGCAGTATGTACTTGGAAATAGGTGCAATACTCCCAGGTGTGCCATCCACTGGCCATCACCCTGGACACGACCAACCAGCAGCAATGGACACAGGAAGCAGCTTTAATCGAGATGAAGTGATTTGCCCTTGTACTCCAGTATTGTTTGGCTACCCGCAGTGGTTCTTCCCATCACTTCCTTTTTGGTCCTTCTACCTGGAGATGTCATGGATTGAACCTGGGGGCTTCTGCATGCAAAATGTAGGTGCTCTACTACTGAGCTATGGTGCCTTCTCTGGCAACGTAAGCCGACTCCGCGTGGCAAGGTACGCCACCTTCATATCGAAGCCATTAATTAAGCTCTCAGTCATCTTATCGTGCTTGCATCTTGAACCTCCAGCTCAGGCTACTGGTTTTAAATTCACAGGATCCCAAGGATGCTCTGTTGGTGAGCCCCTCACCATCTTCACAGGACTGATTCTCCCTGGTCCCTGTGGAAAAGCCCAGAAAGTTGCCCTGCTTTTCAATTTGTAGTGCAAACAAAGCCTTTGGTTTAGTCACCTGTTTCAGTTAGTCCTGCCACACCCAAACTCTCAGTGTCTCTCCCTTTTGTAGCTTTTTGTCCTTGTCCTCCCCTTAATTTGTCAAACATATTTTGTGTGTGTGTGTATGCATGCGTTTGTATACACACAGATACACTCTACCGTTAATAAAAGATCATTAAATACAGACCATAATCACAAGATTATTTAAAGAAATGTTTCTTTTAAAATGCAATTCTCTTTTACGGCGAAAGCCCTAGAGATGCTGTAGCACATTCAAACACACACACACACACACACACACGGGTTTAAATGTGTTAAGAGTAATCACGGAAACTGTCACAGAGCTTAAGGGGGGGGGTGTTTGCCCAAATCAGGGTTCTATTCTTTGGCAGAAAGCAATACTGTAGTTTAAATTAGTGTGGTGCAGCTGAACCCTTATTTAAAATGTGTTCTACTGACATTCCACGAAGAGGGTGTCTTTGTTTAATAGCGCTGGCAGAACAGCACATTTTCTGCCGAAACCCGTTGGAGTTTAGACCTTTTAATAGAAAGTGACAATTTAAATTGCCATGACGGTGGCCTAATGGTGTTTAAAACTATTACTAGCTGATGCTACAGTTGGCTCCAGACCAGTTTGTTAACGCTCAAGAAAAAGGTAGATGGGAGTGGGCAATTAAGCGATGAATAATTAGTCATTCCTTTATTCTTGACTATAATACCATTAGTCAAAGATGAACTCATTTGCCTGTACTGTTAATTCCATTGTAGCTCTGGGCTAGTTAACTCTCAGGGCGAGGAGACCTGACCATTGGTCAGCACTTCCCCACCCCATGCTTTCCCTTTCAGTGGATTGCCTCCAGTCTCTCTCACCCCTCCCCTTTTCTTGGCACATAAAATAGTATCAGTTTGTGCCATTTATTTGCTCGAGGTCTGGCCTAGCTACTGTTAAAAGACTTGTTGGCACTCCTGCTATTTCCCATTCAGGATGGCAGGAAATTTAGGATGGGGGCACAAGGCAGTTTATGTTTTAAGAAAAAGTCTTACAGTACAGTGGTACCTCTGGTTGCGAACGGGATGCATTCCGGAGCCCTGTTCGCAACCTGAAAGGAATGCAACCTGCGTCTGCATGTTTGCACATGCGCGGGTCGCAATTTGCCGCTTCTGCGCATGCGTGTGATGTCATTTTGTGCGTCTGAGCATGCGCAAGCGGCGAAAGCCAGAAGTAACCCTTTCCGGTACTTCCAGGTCGCCGTGGGATGCAACCTGAAAATGCACAACCTGAAGCAAACGTAACATGAGGTATGAGTGTAGTAGGGTGCGCAAGGAAACATTGTCTTCTTGGAGAGGCAGTCAGTGCAAGCACATCAGAATTTTTGCTGCTAGCTGCCAAAGCAATCAGAAATGCTTATATGAAGTATGAAGTCTTTTACAGCCGTTCTTCACTGTATGCATAATGAAGCTATGCTACTCTGCCGTAACGGATTCATTTCGTTTATACCTTGTACCATTCTGCACTTATTGGTGAGTTTCTCAACAAGTGCCAATTTCCAGACCTTATTATACCAATTCGTCAAAGAGGCTCCTTCCACATATATTTCTGGTGCCTAGTTACAACGATCTTTGCTGCGAAAAATAGTCGGTGGTTTAAAGCGCATGCCTGCATTTTCCCCACCGAAAAGATTTAACAAAGCCAATTCTGGGAATTTAGCCACCTTTTGTCCAGCAATTTTGTGGATATCATTAAACATTCATCCCAAAATTTAGCTAGCTTCCTACACGTCAGCCACATTTGTTGGAATGAGCCCCACTGCAGAACTTTTAGCCCTTAAGAAAAACAGTGTCTGTCACCTCAAGCTTGAGATTTTGCTCTGGTATCAAGCTTGGATATATTTCAGTAGTTATATATATTACAGGAACTACCTCTCTCTCTATATATATATATATAGAGAGAGAGAGAGAGAGTGTACAACTGTGGCCTTTATGATTGCTAAACAGCACAGACACCTTGCTAACTCCCATGCTTGTGCCAGGCAGCACAGTCTACTTCATGCGGATCTGGAATGAGCTGAAAGTCAGGCATCCAATAATTTTTTTAGGCACACGGGTAATGTGCCTGAATCCCATGAACAGGGTCAGGAAAATTAACATATAACTGGCCATGAAAGGCACAGGATAGGCATAGACAAAACTGTTCTTTAAATCCAATTTGCGCATCTATTTTATTTAATTAATGCTAAAAAACATGCTCGCCAGGCCACCCTACCTACAGCAAGTCCCATTTAAGTCAATGGTGAAATAGTGCTTCAGGTTAAGAACTTTGCTTCAGGATGAGAACAGGAATCAGGCTCCGGCGGCGCGGCAGCAGCAGGAGGCCCCATTAGCTAAAGTGGTGCTTCAGGTTAAGAACAGTTTCAGGTTAAGAACGGACCTCCGGAACGAATTAAGTACTTAACCCGAGGTACCACTGTAAATGGCATCAGGGAAGGCCAAATGAGTCTTCTTCACACAAACAGCAGCTGAAATGGGAAGCTTTCGATAGGGGCATGCTAAAATGTCCACAATGACTTAAAACTTAATAAATAAAAGGAAGCTGGCACAAGAGCAAAGGGCCCTTGGTGCGCATTTCTGTGCTGATACACACTGCATTGTGCTCAGAGACATGTGAAAATGTTATGAAGTAGAAAGTTCTTTAAATAGCATTACTGTATAACAATATCTGCTTTTCCAAACAAAAACAAGTGATGAATAGTAGCCCCACACCACCCCACACCTATAGTACAGAGATTATATTGTCTGTGTCTCATGTTTTTGTCTAGGATTAGTTGGAAAACTTCTTTTTAAGAGTGGTGTGGGGGAGATGTTACTTCAGTTTTTATCCTTTATTGCCACCTATTGGCGAAGGCTTCAGTCCACAATGATGAAACCTGCTGTACAGATGAGCTGGACAGTTATCTTTTACGTTTTCTTGATTACTCATATTCTGCAACATTCAACACTGCATTATATAGCCCAGTGCAATGCACTCGAAGATCAAAACTAGGTAATTAAAACATCAATAAAGCTGCAAGAGCCAAGCCAATTATTTGAGAACATCATCTGAAGGCCTCAGGTTGGTCAAGGGTCCTATAGCTCTGCTGCAGAAATGGCCAGTGTGCTCAGCACTTGAGGGTCGCTTCCAATGCATGTTCTTAACTTCCCGATTTTCCATATCATTCTGAAGCAGTCCCCTGTCAGTTGTAACTAGAACTTTGCCCCTGAGAAATATTTGTAGATGCTGTGCTAGTTTTTTCCTTGCATGAGAACTGACAACCTATACTTTAAAGGTGAAGTAAAAAGCAAAATCCTGTATTTTTCTGTTTTGTTGTCTCATAGTATTTATTTATAATCTGTTATTTATTTGGCAAAATTGTTTGCTTGTTTGCTATGCATTTGGACACCTCTTAGGTATCATCACCAAAATTTGAGGTCAAGGAGCAGGTTTTTGTGTATGTTTGGATGCAATTGGGACACCATTTTAAATCAAGAGTGGACTTCACCAATTATTTGGTTTTTTAGAATTTCTGAGCAACACTGGGTAGAAGGCTGCTGGTTTCTAATGTTTCATGGCTATTTTAATTATATTTTTATTTGATTTTGCAAGCTCTTCCAGGCTTTGTAGTACTATAGCAATTAAATAATGTCCCATTCTGTAGACAATGGAATCTTAATTTTGCCAATCCTGCGAATTTGGAGGCAGTCCCTAGGCACTTATCTTTACATCGAGCTTTAGAAAAATAGTTTAAAAAAGGAATACAGTGGTACCTCTGGTTAAGAACTTAATTCGTTCTGAAGGTCAGTTCTTAACCCGAAACTGTTCTTAACCTGAGGTACCACTTTAGCTAATGGGGCCTCCCCTGCCGCTGCACAATTTCTGTTCTCATCCTGAAGCAAAGTTCTTAACCCGAGGTACTATTTCTGGGTTAGCAGAGTCTGTAACCTGAAGCGTCTGTAACATGCTTGTGTACAGTGGAACACTGTATACAAAAAATCACAAAACAAAATTCACTATTTAGAGAAAGGAACTGGTGGAATCCTAGTGTCAACATCAGTTTCATCATATATTACACAGTACCCTTGAAGAATGTCCCAGATTTAGTTCCCAACATCTCTGAATGTTCCAGAGAAATAATATTCTGCTCAGCTAACAAGTTTATGGTAAGAGGAAACAGCATGAATTTTAGTGGCAATAAGTGAAAGAGTTAGCTTATCAAATGAATATTCATTAACAGGAAAATAGTCTGATTTTTATTTTTTTCACATTATCATCAAGTACACAATACAACGTTACACATCCCTATATAGGACTCTATTTTTCTTTTTCTTTTTTTACAAAGTGTACACAGGGAGGGACATATAGTATTTAACAAGCATTTTTACAGAACAATTATTTATATTATGTTCTCAGTTGGTTTTTTTTTTAATGTACCATTTAAAACATGGAACTGAAACATCAATTTTATAGCATTTGCTAATCAAATAAAACTAGCCTGTAACTATTATTACATTAACAATAACTAGTTTTGATTTGCTCTTTTTACAGATACATTGTACAAAATCCACTTCACTAAACTCTTAATTGCATACGTTTCCAAAATTATGCTTCAAAACAAGTATTTACGATTCCAGATGATGTTACAAAAATAGGAAGTGGGTCACTTTTTTGTTCTTAATTTGACTAATTGTCCAAGAAGAGTTTTTCAATATGGATAATACTTTTCAGCAGCAGACTGAGAATTTGAGGTTTACTAACTTTTTAACAGGCTTGAAAATAACTTTTGTAAATTATTTGGAAATCTGGGCAGGACTTGGAAATCTGGGCAGAAAATTGAGGCACCTAAGTTTCCACTGAATCAATGAGTACAAGTGCTTTTAGGACCAGGCTTTCAGGCCATAATCCCACAGTAAAGAAACCACCTAGAATCTTTTACAGGATTCTATACAAGCGCTGCTTAAATCTACTAAAAGATAAAGAAATGGCCATGTGCATCTTGGAGCAGAAGTCATGAGTGCATTTGATTACTAGAGGTCCCCACTATCTATTCCAGGAGTTTGGTGAACATGCAACAGTCCAAACACAAAAGGTCAGAAACAAACATAGCTGCACATAAATCCGACACACTTAGGTTTGTATAAAACAAAACGTTTTATGTTAGCATATCAAGTGTTTATGTTTACATATGGCTGTCTCAAGTAATTCTTGTTTCCATTAAGCAAAACCAATCAACCCAGGAATACTGAGGTATTTATTTGAAGAAATGTACAGACATTGTATTTTCTGGCCACATAGGGATATTGTGTTTCTGATGAGAGGTGAAGGAAGTACAGAGGAAAAACTGTTCATTTGGAACTTGCGTCTCATCTCATTATATTTGACCAGTGTACTTTTGGGACCAAAACAGAAGGGAAGGGGTTGAAGAAGCCAACAAGCCAAACACACCAGACTATGTACGTTCACTAAGATGTCATCCCTTACAGCATGCTTTGGAGTCCCCGCCACACCCTGTTTTACTGCACTTTGCAAATTCATAAGAGTACATTGTTGGCCGTGAAGCAGGTTGTGGCAGCCTTAGCTTTCAGAGCACAGCTGATCATTGCAACATCTATCCAGAAGGGTATAAATGGATAAGGAAGAACTAGACAAACACTAGATAATTACTACTTAATAAACTGATTGGAAGGACCACTACACGCTTGTTACTGAAACGATTCTTTAAGAAAAGCTGTGACATCTAATGTTTCACAGGGGGAAGGAGACAATTACTCCTCCTCATAGCTCTCTGTGCTCCATCAAAATCTGCTCTGGAAGTTTGAGGACTCTCCACAGTAGATTTTGGAGGGGCTGCACTGGGGAGGAGGAATCAATGAAAACTGCCTTGTTTGCCTAGCGACATCGACTCCTTCCATCAGCTGAGGGAGAAACATTGGATATCACCCTGTGTTCCTAAGAGAGTAATAGAGAAAATATACAAAAAGTTGCTGGAAAACAAGTTCTTCATGAAGATAGCATCCGTTTCTATTCTTTATTGATCCATCTAATGTGCTCCCTTTATACAGTTTATATTCTTTGAAAAGCTGTCCAAAGCTGCTGGTGGATAGTTAAAAATATGATTGGACCAAATATTTCATGGAGTCTTGTAACAAAAATGATTTTTAATTTGGGGTAACCTTAACAACCGTCAATTGATCCTGCCAACAACTGAAACAAATGTATCCATATGCACTATGAATCAGCAATAAGTTTCAAAACACAAATGCATTTGTAATACAGAACCAAAAGAGAAGCATGTAGTTAATATGTATGAACAAATGCCTGAAGTTTTAAATTCACACTTCCTGAAAATAAATGCTCCCAGCAACCAACTATTACTTATCATGGAAGAATTAAACATTATGTAAAAAGAACTCCAAATGATGGAGAATAGTAATGAGTAACTACTCAAATGAAGATTGTGTCACAAATTTTTAAATATCAGATGAAACAATAAGTGGGTCCTATGGTACAATGTTATCTTCTTACATTAATTTCCTCCAGTTTATTTTATACAATCTTTTTATGACTGCTTTATTAAGAGCAAATTAAAAATATATCTTTAACTCATGACAAAACTGTTAATATGGTCACTGAATATGAACCATGTCAGTAAGGTAAATATTTCAGAGAACAAATGTGGTTGAAAAATTCATTTTGAGACAGGGTTTACTTTATTAAATGCAACTTTATTGTTGCTATCCTTCCTCATTTATTAAACGGAAGAGAATTCAGAACACACTAATGAACAAAATGTATAAAAGTCAACTAGAAGCAATAATCCTATCTGTATACAGCACTAAATCAAATGCACGCTAGTTTGTTTGTGTGATCTGCTTTATAATACAATGACTGCCTAGAAAGCGAATCTTTTACACACACCCTTCTAAATTTCATAGAATAAGGAGTCCTCACGGCAGCCCAATGTCTTTATGATGCCGCATAATGTGCTGGTTCTTCTCTGAAGGTCTTCTGAAGCCTTTTTTGCAGAACTCACAACGGTGAGGGTAGTCTTTTGTATGAATGGAAATAACATGCCGTTTGAAACCTGAGGCATCTGTAGTGCTATACTCACAGAACTCACACTGATAAACTTTTCTACCACTGTGTGTTTTCATGTGTTTTTTGAGTTCCATTTGCAGCTTGAAGCCCTTCTTACATCTCTTGCACCTGAACGGAAGATCCTTTGTGTGAACTGAGAGAATATGGCGACTTAGAACAAACGGATCTGCAATCTTAAAGTCACAATGTCTACACTGGTGCAATTTTTTGCCTTTGTGCACTGCAACATGTTTTTTCAGTTCTGAGGGCCTGTGAAAGCCTTTGTCACACATGTCACACTTATGGGGGTAATCCTTTGTGTGAACGGAAATTATGTGTCGCTTTAAATCACTCGAGTTTGAACTTTTGTGGTCACAGTGCAGACACTGATGTGTTTTGCTTTCTTGATGCATAATGATGTGCTGTTGCAGCTCTTTGGTATCTGAAAATATCTGAAAACAAATGTCACATTTGAAGGGCATTTCCTTACTGTGTCTAGTCTTTACGTGAGTTTTCAGGTTGGAAGAGTCAGCCGATCTATACTCACAATATTGGCACTGGTAGGGCTTTTCACCGGTGTGGATTCGCATGTGTTTCTTGAGCTCTGACGGATGCCGAAATCCTTTGCCACATTCCACACAAATGTGTGGAAAGTTCTTGCTGTGCACAGCCAGAAGGTGACGATTCAGTAATCCCTGCTCTGCTGTCTCATACTCGCAGAATTTGCACTTGTGCATTTTGTTGGCTGCCTTGTCCCTGTGCACCATCTTGTGTGTAAACAAAGCTCCTGCATGAGAGAAACTTTTCCCACATTCGTCACATTCAATTAGCTTCTCGGTCTTGGTAGTAAGCTTGTGGCTCTCTAGATGGTTATGCAAACTTAACTTTTTATTTGTAGTGTAATCGCAGTCAGTACATCGATATTTTTTCTTAGCAAGAAGGTGCTCAGGGTGGTTTTTCATGTGCCTTTTCAGGAAGCCTCTAGATTTAAACTTCTTCCCACAAATCATACAGGGGTAGACTGTCAAAGGATGGCCATCGGGCCCAATTATTATTGCTGTAAAATAAAAGCAAAACCCAGATCATGAAAATGGCACTCCTTAAACAGAAAAGAAATATGCTGATATGTTTATTAACAGCTATGTAAGTTGAAGTTATGCACTTCAAAATCTTATTCATTTCAGTGACACAGTCAAGCACATACTTATTAGTGCAACCCTATAAATGTCTGAGTTAACAAGGCATCTTCCCAGATAAGTAGGTAAAGGATTGCCGTCCCACTCACTGAAATCCATAGGATTTAAATATTGGCTGGCAATATTACCTCTGTTAAATTAAATTAGCCACAATAATGTGTCAGAACTAAAGCAAAATCATTCAACACAAATGGGGGAAGACTTGCAGCACTTCAGTATTTGGTAGCAATGTCAAGTGCTAACACATCCTTTAATTAAGCAAATTAAACCTGCATAAAGGAATACCTTGACATGTCAGTAACTGCAGAACCCAAGATCTCTTAAAGGTGCCTTGTAATAATAGGAGTCTTTGCAGTGGATGAATCAGGTTTGTCAGGTTTGAGGACAACTGTTTCCAAAAGAGTCCACCAGTACAGGAATTTCTAATTTTAAAACTGAAGATAACTATTTGTTCTCTGTTGCTTTGTATGGCTCTCAGATAAGTGAGTAAGCTAGTAGAAATGTTAATATTAACTATAATCCAAAATAACAGTTGCAAACAGATAGCATGAGATAAGAATTATATATAATCATTGTGCAATCAAAACAAATATGAGAAGCAAGTCAATCCAGACATAGAATACATGGAGCTTGATGAAATGTTTTATTATGTATTTTCATTATGTATTTTTTTGTTGTGAACCATCCTGTGATCTTTGAATGGTGGCATACAACAACAACAACAACAACAAACATGCTTCCACCACCGGAGCTATGCCAAAAGGGCAGAACTGTTATAGTAATCCCTCCACTCCTTATGAACCATGCATGCGTATTACGTAACTGTTGGGGCTGCCAGGAAGGCAGTGCTAATAGCTGCTATAATAGGCCTATGCTTCCAATAGGAGCACAACAGATGCGTATATCCTCTCACATTTTATGCATCAGTCACTGGCAGTAGTTACAAGAGAATAATGTATCTAACAACTTCTTTTCTCCCTAAAACGTTGGGGGTATGTTCGCATCAGTACGACTTCATAGGAGGTGTTGGGTAGGGTTTACTTTAACTGCTGCCTTCCTCAGTGAGTCCACGTGCTCTATCTTAGTGCAATTTCATTTTCTTTGCATTTTGGTTACTAGGGACTTGTGCATTCTTAAAGACAAAAACACTTGTGTTAACCCATCTTTACAATGAGATGAGTCACATCTTGAGGATTTATAATTTATAAGTTGATGTAATTTATTACATTGAGTCCATTAGAGATGTTTCTAAATATTACAAGCTTTTTGTCTAACCCTCATCCCCACCCAAAAACAAAATGCCAGAAACTGAACAATCTTTTGGTAAAAGGTACTCTATATTGAAGTAATGTACAGAGCATACCTACGTATGCAATCTACATTATCTCCCACTATAATTAAGTGTGTGCATGTTACTCTCCTTTGAGGTTCCAACCAACCAAGTTGTCTTCCAGGATACTCGTTCACCCTGCACTCCACCACCAAAAATTAGTTAGCATTCCAGTTCAGTTCTCACTGCAATGTTTTTGGCTCTGGCCCACTCAAGCTTTTCCCCCCCTTAAAGGTTTGCTTTTGGGCGTGTGTGTATAGCTTTACAAACTTCAGGGTTCCCAAAACCTACCGATATCTCCCTTTTGTGTGTGAATAGAGCTGTTTGGGCTATAGGTGGCGCTGTGGGTTAAACCACAGAGCCTAGGGCTTTCTGATCAGAAGGTCGGTGGTTCGAATCCCCGTGACGCGGTGAGCTCCCATTGCTCAGTCCCTGCTCCTGCCAACCTAGCAGTTCGAAAGCACATAAAAGTGCAAGTAGATAAATAGGTACGGCTATTTTATTCATATCTTGGCACTGAGAACAGCCTTTCCTGTGGGAAGTGCTTGGAGTGCAGAGCTCAAAGTGAGTAGTGACTGATAAATTCAACATGTTTTTGTGGTTTCTTGATGCTGGTATTTCCCCTGTCATTCCAGCTTCACCCTTTCTTAAAAGAAATCCAGTGTTTGAATACTTCCAGGGGGACACTCTGTTTGGGTGAGAATTGGGAGATGCCTCCTGACTTTGATATTTTGAACTGGGTGATGTTTCCCAATGAGTCTCGTGTCCATGTGAAGGTAAACGGCGTTTCCGTGCGCTGCTCTGGTTCGCCAGAAGCGGCTTAGTCATGCTGGCCACATGACCCGGAAGCTGTATGCCAGCTCCCTCGGCCAGTAAAGTGAAATGAGCGCCGCAACCCCAGAGTTGTCCGTGACTGGACCTAACGGTCAGGGGTCCCTTTACCTTTACTTGGTGATTTACATTAATAGGTGTACACGGTGTGTCTATGAATAATTTTCTGCCGAAACCTGACTTTTCAAGTAATTTATTCGTTCTTTCTGTTAACAGTTCTAAATTTGTGTTCTTGTGATATTGTTAAAGTACAAAACCACAAAAAGAATGCATCTACATGGTTGTGCTTTTAAAGCCTTTAAAATGCTCACAGAAAATGCATTTCTATTCTCTTTCTCTTGACAGGCAATCATCATAGTCACTAGAGTCGCTGGGTACCTACCTGTTTGATATTGTCTGGATTCCAATCTCCTCCTTTTCTTTGGTTTTTGTTTTGCTAGCCTTCCAAGACCAGCAGACTCATCTATGTGCAAGAGAGCACTAGCTGTTCCATTTCGGTTTTCAACTGCATCTGTGTTATTACCTAATGGAGGATTGAATGTTACATATCATCAGCACTCAAAGGAATATTCAAAATACAGAATCTATACATGGTAATAAAATACTAAGTTGGTAAATGGTTGTTCTGTGCCTTTTTGCAGTCAACCTGGGCACTGAATGAAGTCAGATTCACATTCAAATAGAAACCTTTGAATGCTGCTCGTGACTCATACTATGGATTTCATCACCCTATCACAAGCCAACATTGTTGGATAATAAAAAGATGCCAAAAGCAAACATTACCCATAAACTGCTCACGACCCAGCAGCCGCCATGTGGCTGCTTGTTTGCACAAAATAGGAGTGGGAGCCAATTTCATTTGGCATGAGCTAACACTACAGGGAAGTGTCTTTTGATTTACAACATACCATAAGCTGCTGCCCAAGCTATCGGCATAAAGCTTTTAATATCATTCTCATCAATTTGCTGTTCGTGAACAGCTGCTGCGTCTTCCTCTCCTACAATTACCTCCATATATACCTCATCAGCAATTTCTGCAACATCTAAGAGAAGAAAAAACAATATAATACAAATTTTGTGTCATTTTAAACAAATTCTTAACCCTAAATAAAGGTCAAATACTTACTTAAATCTTCATCTTCATGCTGGGAATCATTTACTGTCATATAAACCATTTTTTCCCTTGGAATGCGAACACTGCTATTTTGATTCATTAATGTGTCTCCATTGTCATTTTCAGATTCACTTTCCACAATATCTACTGTGCCTCCTGGGTGGGGGGGAAAAAGTTGGTCAAAGTATTTTGTAAAAGCATGTTTCTACTAAATTATGGTTTAAATATAAGAATAGAAAATAATCTACACTTTCCCCACACGACATCTGAAAGAAGACAGAGTCAAATAAAAGGAGATACTATGAAAGGTTAAGACTCAGCAACTAATTTCCTGGAGATACGTTGAGAAGAACAAGGGATAGTGGGCCTAAACCTTAACTTCCACTTTCTATTGCTACCAGCCAACATGTCAGAAAGGCCAGATTCTCCACCATTTTTATTTCTAGTTTGGCACCTAGAGGGAAAGGAGGAGTCTCATGAAATCTCAAGAGCACAGCTTTTGTCCTTCGACCTCCAATTACTGATGTTTAGATTAAGTTTAAAAATAAAATAAAATAGAATGCTGTACCTAAGTCATCTTCCCCTGGATCAGCTTTGAAAATGTACACCTTGATGACTTCTGGGCAAATGCCATCCATTTTACAAGGATCATTTTCTGACACAGTTTTTCTTGTCAGGTCAACAGAATCATCAGTTTCTGCCTTGACAGCATCATCCACTACAGAGAAAAACAATAAAATGGTCAATCCAACATAAACTGATTGCAGTAAGCCAAAAATTTATCATTTCAATTTTAGAAATGTTTTAAAATGCAATAAAACTATAAATGACAGTGAAAGAAATGTTTATATAATTATTCTAGTTACATGAAAACTAGTGAAATATGTTAAGAAGATAAATTCAAAATGCTCTCCTGCACTGCCTCACTGAATAAAATATTTCTCTTAATTAGCTTGTAACTGTGACCAAACTTGAAAAATGGTAATAAATCAGGGAAGCAACATGGGCTGGGGAACTGGAACAGGCTGGTGGGCTGGATCATTATCTCTTCCACTCCTAGTGAACCAAGCATTTCCTAAAAGTTCTCATACTGGAGTTGGATCCTTAGCTGGCTCAGTCACATACATTGGGCTTCACAGCTGACTGACTGCAGTTTATGGACTAGACCCACCAACCAGCTCACTGTGGGAATTCTGCAGACTTCTGTGCACAGTACTCACAAGCCCCAACAACCTGATTGCCATAACTTTGTAAGCACTATACAATGGGTTTCGCAAGACCCACCAATCAGCTGACTGTGGGTGCTTGCAAATCCCTCTTTACACACCAGCTGATCAATGGTGCATGCAAAGCCCTTTTGGCTTGTGCCTTCATCTGCCCCACACCAGATAAAATCATGAGTAGGGTAGGTGAGTGTGGCTTGTCCAAACCGGTCTTGCAAGTCAAATGGAGAAGCCTGGTGAGCCTAATTAGGCCTGGGGGCTAGAGGATCCCACATGCCAAAGTCACAGAATAGCCGTGTTAAAAGTCAAATGCGAGTTTCTTTGTAGTTTGCCTTCGTAATAGCCAATTGTGAAACAATTAATCTGTAATTGCCTTGAGGAAAGCGAGGTGATTATAAATAGAAAAAAACTGATTTGAGGTTTTTGCTACAATCAAGCAGTATATAATTTTCATGAAATAAAATAACTAACTAAATTGTGCTCTCATGATCTATCAACAGACAGTGAAAATGCTGATGATGAGGCAGCACAGCACAATTCTACCTAGAAGTATATATGAGGTGGTGCACACCTCTATTTGTGCCACAACAGCTGAAATGGAATTCTATGCAAGGCAAGCTCATACAGCCTGTCTCATCAATTTCCATTCCACCCTGCTTGCTACATCTTTTGTTTTTGCCAATACTAGGTTGCGACTTTACCGGGAATGGGATGGAGACACTGTGAGTTTGAGAACCACTGCCGAAGCCTCAGAACACTCCTTCTACAGTTTGCCACATGGCACATTAAACAGATACATGAATTATGTAAAAAGTGGAGATTTGAGTTTAGAAGCATGTTTTCATTTTGCTTGATAAACTGCTACATACTGGCCAAGGCAACACCAAATTAGGCATCAAACTCATGACTTAAAAACTGGTAGAGCTTGTTTGGGAGGCTGAAAGCAAAGAATGAGGTAATAGGGAAACTTTCACTTGGCATAATTATTGTATAAGCATTCTCATCAAATTATAAAGGGTGTGGATTTATATTTTCTTTGAAGAGAAGAACAAGTATATATAGTTTTAGAACAGACTAAGAATTTAGAACATTGATATATGAGAATACAGAGGTGGGATCTATTATCTTTATAAGAGGTAATAGCTGAGTAACATAAGGTTGCATCTTATAGCTATGCATAGCTATGCTAGTGCACTTTATTGATATCCTGTGCCTAGGCTATAAACAAACTCACCCATCCTACTATGCTTCTAGAAAGTTCTAAAAATTCTACTATGCCTCATACAGCATTACATTGGTGGAATCATGCTAGCTAAATAGCCTGACAATTATGAGAGTTATCCCCAAACAATTCCTACCACATGCTTTCTCTGCCTTGAAATGACTTTGTGCATTGCTGCTATGTTGCATTTGACAAATGAATGCCATTTGTCAGCATAGTATTACCAAGGTATAGTGCTGTGCTGACATAACATACAGGGTCAGTTCATGTTACAGCAACCATCCTAAACCCTGCATACCCTTCTCGTCCAGCTCTTCCTGGGTTCTTCTTGACAAAGTGGTGGTGGAGAGCAATCAAATCAAGACTCACAACCACTGAGCAATATGATGGTTGCCATCTTCTCTCCACCCCTCCCCAACTCACCAGCAGCTACTTAAATTACTACAAGTGTACTTAGCATAGATTAACACCACAGAAGTCCAAGGGATTAAAAGTGAAGCAATAGAAGTACCCTGGATTAAGGAATTTGTAAATAAATTTGTGGCTTTTGAAATACTTCACCCAGACACTTACAGGAAATCATAAGGTAGTCTTCACAGTTGCCCTTGTCATTATCATGTTCCACAGGTATTCCACTGGCATCAATTACAGCTTCAGAGGCACAATCTGCTACCAAAACTTCAGAAACTACATCTTCTCCCAGAGAACCTGTGGCAATTTCTGCTTCTACAACATTACTATGATCATGAACAACATGTTCCAATTGTCCAACATCAGGTACGTGCATTGACGCACTTGTGAGCACATGCTCAGGTATCGACATTGCTGAAGCTGTGATCTCAGAGGATAAAACATCTTCTGGAACAGTGCAGTGTGCTAAAGACACTTCCTCAGTGACATCAGTGTCCAGCACTGGTTCAGGCATAATAACAGTTTGAGATACATCAGTATCTTCCATGATATCTGGACACTCAACATCTTCTATAACAACGTCCTCAATTACATCCTGGATTACTACAGAATCAGGATCCTCTGGGACAAAGTTATGAACTGTTATGTCAGAATCCTCCACATCTGAGACATAGACTGTTTCCTGTATTTCAACAACAATCTCATTTCCATTCAAATGTGTTCCATCAGTTCCTGAAATACATAAAAATAATCAAAGTTACTGTGACAGTATAGTTTCAGGTTTCATGAAAATGAGATCTATTTATGACTTCTTTCCCCACACATCCTATGCAAGTTCTTGGATTATTCCCTATGTGACACATTCCATATTGTTATAAAGTTTACAAGCTTCTTGTTAGCTCCTGCTGGTCTTATTGTGCCTTCAAAATCACAGAGGGTTGGAAGGACGTAGAATTCACTGAGAAAAAGTGTCAGGTGGGTATGACTTTGTGGAAAGTATAGGAAGATGTGAAAACTGATAAAAAGAACAGAGAACTGAAAATGTATGTAAAGGTTAGGAAGCGCTAACCCAGTTGTCAACTATCTCGGTCTTCCCATTCCGTAACAACCGCCTATGCACCCCGCATTATACTTGGTATCCAAAGAAAATAATTATTATTATTGTCTTATTCTAGAGAAATGGTAAACAACAATATTAGTACAGAAATACTTAAAAGATTATATAGTGCATTTTAGTGGTGGTTGGTAGTTCTTGTAGCATCAAGGTACTTCTCAAAACATGTTAACTATGGAACAGAATGAATTTAGACTTTCAGGCAGGAGAGTAGAGAAATTAAAAAAACAAAAAAACAAAACCAGTCTGGTGTCATTCAGTAAAGACCAAATAGGCTACATCATGCATTTAGAGAAATCCATTTTAGACTGTCATACCTGTAGGATCAAAAAACGCATGTGGGTCATGTGGCTGTAGCTCAAGCCCATCTTCATCCATGGCCTTTAACTCTCATCAGTCAGAAATGTCTATAAAATAAAAATGAAGAAGCTCCAATATTTATGCAGCATGCATACTGAACTCAGTTCATGGATGAAAAAATCCCAAGAGGGAAAAATATTGTCAAGAAAAGAGTCAATTCCTCAGGACCTGCCCCCAAGACTACAAAGTGATATGCACACACTGCTTGCTATATCCAGTGGGGGCAGGAAAATACAGCTTTCAGGGCAAAACACTCCTACCTCACTGTATGTATTTGTTCATTCAAAATATCTTTGTGGCTCTCAGAAAGCAACATATATGAAAATGAATAATACAAAGCTGTATGAGATATATTAGAGAGGTTTGTATTAGCATTAGAAAGCTGCTCATTTACAATCTTAAGAAATGGCAGTGTTGAGATTTTCTTCAAAACTATTAAAAAAAACAACAATATTGAAGAGGTCAATTACTGTGGTACCTCTGGTTGCGGATGGGATCTGTTCCGGCGGTCTGGCCGGATCCCGAGGTTTTCACAACCGGAGGACCGCTTCTGCGCATGTATGTGCTGTAAAAACCTGTTAAATTACTTCTGAGTTTGCCACTTACGCATCGCGAAGTTTACGTAACAAGAGGGTTACATAAGCGGAGGCACTACTGTACACTAAAACTGTGGGGCCATCACCAAGAAGGTCGTTTCTTGTTCTCCACAGCCTAGTTTATCTTATTGACAGGCATACAAACAGGACCTCTGAAAAAGATCTTGGGACAAGGATGGGGAACCTGCGGCCCTTCTGATGCCTCAGAACTACAATGCCTATTGGCCCCAAGGCAAGCATGGTGAATAATCAGGGATAATGGGTGCTGTAATGCAGCAACATTTGGAGAGCTAAAGTTTTCCCAATCCTGTTTTAGGGCACAAGCTGGGCTGTACAGATAAAGGCAATCCTTAAGCAAACCTGAAAGATAAACACAGCACTTTGAATTGGGCCCAGAACCATACAGTGTTAGATGAGAAGACTTTCTGGCCTCTATCTGTATGTATATACCACATTTTGCACCAACTAAATTTTCTGACCCATCATCAAAGGCAGCCCCCATGGAAACAACATTACAGTAGTCCACTTTGGAGGACACAAGTGCATGGGTAACTGAGCCCAGGTCTGACTCATCCTGAGCTGGTAGAAGGTACCTCCGGCCACTGCCACTATATATGCATTTCTGGACAAGAATGAATCCAATAGCACCCCCAAGCTGCACAACTGCTCTTTCAACAAAAGTGCAGCCCCATTTGGAACAGGTCTCACACCTCTATTTAGATCAGCCAACTTCTCAACCCACAGAACTTCTTATCTGAATTAGGTTTCTGTCTTCCTCCCCACCATCTTATCCCTTCTAATATGCATCCCAATATCTGGTCAGCCTTCTTGGGATGCATAGGTGGAAAAGAGAGACTGAGCCGAATGTCATCTGCATATTGATGTCAAGACAGGAGTTGGGAGCAGGTCAGCAATAACTCACAAGGTGTTAGTGAAGTTAACTCTTTATTGAAATAAACAAAAACAGCTCAGGCCCAGTGAGCACAGTAACTCTTCCCAGTAGGTCTTGGCCCAAAGAGGCAGCTGGTGCCTTTCCACAACTCCCTACGTCTCTCCTCCCCCAGGGTCCTTCCCAAGCAACCTGAGACTTCTTCCCCTTGCCTGTCTTTATTCCTCCCTCTTCACACCTCTTCGGGTTCTGGGAGACCAGGGGGCAAGAGAGCTTGCCACAGGAGGGGGAAACTCCTTGCCTTCTTCAGCAGCCTGACTCATCTCTGCCTCTTGGCCCCCCTCCTCTCCAGTCTCCTCTTCTGTCTCTGGTTCTGGACTCTGCCACACTCTTCCTGCTCACCAAACCCTCTTACCTGTTCAGCTTCCGACACCTCCTCCTCCCAGCCTTCTCCCTCTGACCACCCATCGTTATCCCACCACCAGTTACCTGGCTCTGGTCCTTTTTTCCCTGGGTGGTTTTCCAGCTGGTGCCTCCCACCACTTCTCTGCATCCAGCCAGTCCATGACAACTGTTAATATTGCAACTCAGACCTCCCAATGACTTCTCTCAACTGTCTCCCATGGCTTCTAAATACTGAAGATAATACTGAGATAAAATAGAACCCTGAGGCATTTGCATGTCATGAAGCAGAGCAGAAACCACCTTCTTGGACCATTCAGGAAGAAGTGGAGCCACTGTAACATGGTGTCTCCAACGCAGACAGGAGGGGCAGAAGTATGTCATAGTAATGGTATGAAAAGCAGCTGAATAGCAGCATTACCAAAAGTTTCTTGCTACTCGTGAGCAATAAGTTGCTTTTTTAAGTAAATCCATGATTTATTCATAATGAAAATTTGAAATATTGAGATGCTAATGTGCAAGGAATAAACAGAAACTGTGTTTTTCGAACTGCATCCTTAGTCGCAAGCAAAACTACTCTACATGCATTTAAACACCCACAGAAGCTCGGGACAGTTAAAAGCTTTTGATTTGCTTATTGCACAAATGCTGTTGAGTCCAAAATAAGCTGAAATTTATTATCAAAGCAGCCAGGGAAATTACCACGCACATTATTTTCTGCTTCTATTCATTCTGCAGAAAGTGGATACACACACACGAAAATATATATATTTACTCCAGAAAATCATTTTTCAATCTCATCTCCCTGCCTGATTGTCATATATACTTCATAGGAGACATAGTAAATAATGTTTTTTTCCTCTCTAAAGCAAGTTGTACATTAGTAGCCCTTTCCCACTGTCCCTAAAACTGAAAGATGTTCTCTATGCAATCCCCATTAGCTTTTCAGACGTTCATTTGGCAATTGCTTTTTATTGTTTCAGATATATAGACTTTCAGTGGCCTTCCCGATTCACAGTAACCCGACCTGTCTACTTCACATATTACAGTTAAGAAACACAAAAATCACTAATCCCACACCTTGAGGCACTTTGTCTGACATCCTAACACGTGAGTGAAACTCCCAGAGGCTGCACTGTGGGTTACCCAGAGAAAACTGCCTTTTCCTTTTCAATTGGGTGAGCTTAAGATGAAGACTGCAAAATGTACTAAGCCTGCCTAGTGTGGCATTTTTAATTTGGTTTCTAGCGTTGCGCCACCTCTACCCCGCGAAAGTGTTAACACCCTATGGAAGATGTCAAGCGACCCCGCACCCCCTTCACAATGAAGCCAGTTGGTCTTCCCCAGCATGGAGAGCCAGGCACCTATATTTCCTGGCATGAAGTATTATGTATACTGTATATGGTTGTCCACACACTCCCCCCCCCAAAAAAAGAGAGTCCCTTGAATAAACTCTGGCGCCAACTGCAATATGGCCCCCCTTTGCAGAGGAGCCTGGGGGCGGTTGTGTGCGCTGCTCGTGCCCCGCGGAGACGGGACATCGTTTAACCGCATCGTTGGCAGCGGAATCGCCTGGAAAAGCCGCCCAGCCCGTCAAAAGCTACGGCGGTGGGGCGGGAGGCTGCGGGGCTGGAGCTGGCCCTCGAGCAGCCGAGCAGGACAACTGGGCACAACACGGGGAAGGAGGGGAGGGGCGAGCCTCCCCCACTGGCGCCGTCTCCGCCCTGCCCTGCCCGTAATGGGGACTGTCTGGGGCCAGGAGCGATGAATTCAAGATGGCGGCCGGCACTCTCCCTCAGCCTCCCTTGCCGCCGCCATCTTGTCTCCTCCTTGCAGACAGTCTCCCTCCGACTCGGCCCCGGCCCCGCTCGCTCCCTCAGCCCCGCGCCTCAGACCTGTTCCCCGCGCGCCTGGCGCCACCCCGCCGCCTCTTCCCTTCCTGGAAGCCGAGCTGCGGCCGCCTAGGCCCCGGAGCAGGGCCTCACGGCCCACTCCTGCAGGACGCAGCCCGGGCCCGCGGCCTAGCTGCGGCCTTCTCGGGGCCTGCACGTCGGCGGGCGCCGAGGCCTGGTCCCGCGCGGGGTAAGGGCCTAGCTGGGGCCTGTCCCGTGCTGCTTACCGGGCGGGGCGGCGGCGGCGGCCTCTGCGCGGCCTTTCTGCGCGTAGCTGGGCCGATCTCGGTGGTAGAGCCGCAGCGGCGGGGCGGGCGGGAGCGGAGGGGAGGGAGGGGCCGAGCTCGGAGCTGAGTGGAAGCGGCCAAGCTCCCCGGGCCGGGCCGCCGTCAGCACGTCACGTCACTGCCCGAGAGAGACCCAGGGAAATGCGGAAGGGAGAAGCCGGCGCTGCTGCCGCCTGAGCCGCCTGCTCTTCAGGCCAGGAGCCGGGCCGGGCCGAGCGGGCGGGCGGAGGAGAAGGAACCGGGCCAGGGACGGGAAGATGAAGTGCAAGGGCGGCGGGTCTCTGCCAGCCCCTCCCGCTGCAGCTGCCGCTCCTGCCGCCGCCGCCGCCGCCTCCTCCGTTCCAGCTCGGCGGTAAAATTCCGCTCCGGGCTCAGACTTGCTCAACTCGGCGCCGGGGAGCGGAGGGTGGTTTAGGCCTGGAAAATCCCCAACTTTTCGGGGTGGCTTCCCCGCAGGCACTGCCGGGGGCACCCCCGCCTCCCGGATTTCTCTTTTACCCCCCTCGATCACCGAAGTTTATTCTGCTCACCGCCTTGTTAAAAAGGAAGCGTTTATTGCATGCCGACATTTTTGGATTAAAATCTTTACTTATTCAGGCCCCCGTTCCCCCCCCCTCCCCACCTCGAGAACAATACATGTTCTTTGGGATGAAAGATTGAACAGGGAAATGCAGGAAACTTCTCAAGAATCGGTTTGTTAAAGGTCATAATCTTCAAAAAACAAACAAACCCAAAAAACCGTGGTGCCGTTTTTCTTTAAAAATGTTGTTTTTAAAAATTCAAATAAATACGAGTTTAGCCAGCCAGTATAATTCATGTGATAATTGGGCATTTCAGGTATCGCCATAGCTTGCGTTCTATTGTATCAGTTGGAAAAATTAGGTTATAAATTTTAATTTTCCCACTTGCAGTTTTAAGTTGTGAGGCACCTCTACATTTTATAAGTGTTATAATTATTTAATATTTAAAAGAAGATATGTTACACAAGCTTTCCAGTGAGTGTATCTTTTCAGACACAAGAAATGATGATAATTATATGGAGGGTTGCTGGTCTGTCACAATAAGGGCCAGCTCGCCAGCCATAGTATACCACATGGTTAGACACAGTGACAGATTTTGGGGGTATAAGGAGAGGTGGTTCCACTGTGTAGGTGGACCTCTGTGTGCAGTGCTGTATGTACAATACTTTGTTTTGAGAAATACTGATGTCTAACAGCAGAGTTTGTCCCATTTCCTTTACTTGTAGACAATTTAAAAATACTTATTCTGACCTTTTTATGGGATTTGGTGGTATTAGTGAAGCTGGTGCTGCTGATACTATAGTACGCAAGGGAGAAAAGTGCTAAGAGGAAGGCACTCTTGGCAAATCCACACTGATCAACTCATGCCCAGAAACCAATGTCCCCACTGTGGAAAGACGTTAGATCCAGAATAGGCCTCCACAGTCACTTATGGACTCATTGTTAAAACCGTGTTTATGGAAGACAATCTTACCCAGCTACGAGTGATCGCCAAAGGAGATTTCTGCAGATATTCAGTCTGCACTCATTTCCATCGGACACCTTAATTTCCACAGAGAAGACTTAGCGTACCATTCCTCAGTCTTAACTAGCAATGTACTGTATTCCACAACTGTTATGGGCTTTTCTGTACTAAAGTGCAATCATAGCCCCCAGTTAGGTCACGTAGTAACCTCCCAACTAGAGCATTTTCCCACCTGCCAGCTGAGAGAGAGCTCTGCTGCTGGTGTAAGTTAAGATGCAGAAATTATGCTAGTGTAAAAGTAAAAACGGGGCATGTCAAGGGCAGAATAAGGGAGGAACAGACACACTGCACCCTGAAACCTCCATCTGCTGGTCCCACCCATGGAATTTTGCCTATTGCACACCACCAAAAACACGGATGTAACAAATTTCACTCCACAGGAGTAAATGGTAGGGTCGAAAGTGAAGGTTTACACACTGTCCCATCTATCCCCACCCAAAACCTTTAGGATGCAGCTTCAGGAGATATGCCAGCATTTCTGCCCTGTCAGGATTGCCCGTTTGAATATACTATTTTGTAAATTGGATTTTTCACTGTACTCAATGACAAGTACTTTCCTGTCTAAAGTTGCCCCATGCAGGAGGGGGCAGACAGGTACGCTTGCCCTGGGCCTTGGAGGGCTAAGCCAGCAGGGTGGGGTGTGGTACTGGGGGCCTGCCAGACTAGTGCTGTTATGCCAATAATGCATAATAATAATAATAATAATAATAATAATAATAATTTATACCCCGCCCATCTGGCTGGGTTTCCCCAGCCACTCTGGGTGGCTTCCAACAGAATATTAAAATACAATAGTATATTAAACATTAAAAGCTTCCCTAAACAGGGCTGCCTTCAGATGTCTTCTAAAAGTCTGGTAGTTGTTTTTCTCTTTGACATCTGGTGGGAGGGCGTTCCACAGGGCGGGTGCCACTACAAAGAAGGCCCTCTGCCTGCTTCCTTGTAACTTGGCTTCTCGCAGCAAGGGAACCGCCAGAAGGCCCTCGGCACTGGACCTCAGTATCCGGGCAGAACGATGGAGGTGGAGACGCTCCTTCAGGTATACTGAACCGAGGCCGTTTAGGGCTTTAAGTCAGCACCAACACTTTGAATTGTGCTCAGAAGTGTATTGGGAGCCAGTGTAGGTCTTTCAAGACCGGTGTTATGTGGTCTCAGTGGCCGCTCCTGGTCACCAGTCTAACTGCTGCATTCTGGATTAGTTGTAGTTTCCGGGTCACCTTCAAAGGTAGCCCTACATAGAGTGCATTGCAGTAGTCCAGGGGAGAGATCTAGAGCACGCACCACTCTGGCGAGACAGTCTGTGGGCAGGTAGGGTCTCAGCCTGCATACCAAATGGAGCTGGTAGACAGCTGCCCTGGACACAGAATTGACCTGCGCCTCCATGGACAGCTGTGAGTCCAGAATGACTCCCAGGCTGTGCACCTGGTCCTTCAGGGGCACAGTTACCCCATTCAGGACCAGGGAGTCCTTCACATCTGCCCGCCTCCTGTCCCCCCAAAGCAGTACTTCTGTCTTGTCAGGATTCAACCTCAATCTGTTAGCCACCATCCATCCTCCAACCGCCTCCAGACACTCACACAGGACCTTGACTGCCTCCACTGGTTCTGATTTGAAAGAGGTAGAGCTGGGTATCATCCGGATACTGATTAACACCCAGCCCAAACCCCCTGATGATGGTATGGTCGATGGTGTCAAACACTGCTGAGAGATCCAGCAGAACTAGGAAACAGCTTTCACCTTTGTCCCTAGGCCGGCAGAGATCATCAACCAGTGTAACCAAGGCAGTTTCAGTCCCATGATGAGGCCTGAATCCCGACAGGCCTCCCACTCAACCAGGGAATCTTGCGTTGGGCTTCAGACAAGCTCTGCATAGGCCTGGTCTAAAATACCATTTCAAATACCACATAATTAATGAAACTACCTCTCAATCTTTAAAGATTAGGTGGATTTGTGGAGATAAAGTGTATCAGTGCTATTGATGAGATTCCTGAGCTGGAGAGCAACAAAATGGGGAGGTTTCAGAGCTTTTAGTCCAATGTGGTACATCAACCTATGTTATATTCCACAGTAACCAGCTTAGCTAATAGTGTGCATAATATCAAAAAGTTGTTCATGCACCTTTTTGTTCTCTCTGGTTTTGTTAAGAGCAGGAATGGCCAAGACCTTGATTTTCCAAGGCACTTTATGCTCCAGACTCTGCTCTCAGGACCATAAACATATTTAGCTGCAGAAACAATTCCTTTTAGTAGTAGTCAAACTCTCAATTGTGCAACTTTTTGCCAGTCTTAAAACAGTTGCCCTGGTTCCTGGTTTGTTTCCCTGACCCTAAGCTTTAAATCTATGTTGCCTGAGTCAAGGTACGTTACTATAATTGGTTTAAAATTTGGTAGGATTGCCAGGAGCTAGATGGAACTGTCTTATCCTGGGGACATGGGCTTTGTGCTGTGGACTGCCAGTTGCAATACATAGTTTAAAAGTTGGAAGGGGAGCGTCCTTACCACTATCAGAGAAGCATGGAGTGGGCTTTGCCCAGGAAGCAAGGTTGAGAGCTTAAATTTCATTTCATGCTGGATCTATAGGCTATAGGGCAGGCACCCCCCAACTCGGCCCTCCAGATGTTTTGGGACTACAACTCCCATTATCCTTGACCTCTGGTCCTGTTAGCTAGGGATGATGGGAACTGTAGTCCCAAAAACATGGAGGGCCGAGTTTGGGGATGCCTGCTATAGGGTATAAAATACTATTTGCTGTTGCAGTGTTGGATCTTCTGGAGAATACAAGAATCAAGCGCTTAAGAGTGTCTCCACACGAGAATGCAGTTTGAGTTCTTCATAGATTTTCCTCCTGCAAGAAGAGACTAGCACATGTAGTTTAGAATAAGGATCATTTCAAATTCCTGTGCACAGGAGAGTTTGGAGGCACAAAATCCTTAAGATTGTGGATGTGGACAATGGAAAGCAACAGCAAACATCTACAATCCTAGATGATTTTGTGCCTCCAAATAGCATTAGAATAACTTTCCATTCTTTGTCCTATCTACTTTGGAACACTTCAGGCAACAGGAATAAAATCAACATGCAATGGCATAGTTAATTTATTCTTAAGGGTTTTCCCTGCTACAATTTAGGATCAAACTGTTGAGCTA